CCTCAAACAACATACACACACACACACACGCACACACACACACACACACACACACACCTCTTTTCTTTTTGTTGTCATTACTGATTGACAGATAGTTCTGATCTTGCGGAGAGTCTGAGCAGATTCTGTTATTCTGAAGCTTTGGTTCAGTTATTTCAGCTGGTGTCTGTTCCATTTCTAAACTAGTACTACAGTGAGATCACCACTACTGTGTGTGTGTGTGTGTGTGTGTTGTCGCCCTGCCTCCTATGACGGAGTTCAGGAAGCTAGACAGTTGGTCCCTTTCACAGACATATGCACGCTCATGCCTCTTGAGGGGCGTGGGGGGTTGCTCATGTTTTCCAGCGTGTCAAGTTGTTATGCAAGCTCGCAGTGGACCAGAGCGAGAGACAAAAAAAGGTTGAGTACAGAACAGACGAAAAGGGGATGCAGGGTAGAACTGTGTGATGCTGGAGAAAGTATCAGTTGAAACAAGCAACTTAAAGACGTCACCTTGAGCTTTTTTTGGAACTTGTGATTTTTGACTGCATTTTCACTGTTGTCTCCCATTTAATAAACTAAAAGATTAAACAATTAGTCTAAAGAAATCCTCTACAGACAACCTATAATGAAACAAATCATCACCTGTAGGGCCTAAAAATTGACCTAATAGGCTGAACTCTGTTGAGAACCAGGTGTGTGTGTGTGTGTGTGTGTGTGGTCGGCCACATGGCACAGCAGTTCTAAATGAGTTGAAAACAGATGTTAAGAAGTGCTTCCACACAGTTTTTTGACAAAGTTCTGGTTGGATTACCCTATACCCCCCTGAAGCCCTATCTACCTATCCTACCAGTGCACTTCCCCTCCCCCCCTGCTCATTCCAGAGTGCAGACAAATGTGAAAGGTCAAATATCATCCACAGGATGGAGGGCTTGTTGTTTAACAGCCGTTACACAATAATGGACACTCAACGGACCCTTTTTTCCTCTCTGTTTATTTGTCACTTGAGTGGTCTGCTGTAGAAGAGCCTCCTCATACAGCTCCGGTTACCTCACCTGGTCTTCTTCTTCCATCTTTTCTCTTCTTTTTTATGCCTTAAATTCCCCTTTCTTATTAATTCTCCTATAATTCAGTGTCTGTGCAAATGTAAATGTGAGAATAACAGCAGCAGCCTATAGATTTGGTAGGTGCCCTGCAGCTCCTTGAGTGTATACAGCTTTGAAATTGGTTGCCTTTGTATAAATGTAACTCCTAACCCTCTTAGCGTTACCTTTTGAGATACACAGAAAAACCATCTGCTTACACATGACATCTGGGCGTGACATGCAGTCTAATGAAAGAATTCTGGTTGTATCTGAGAACAGGGTTGGGATTGTCACCAAACGTGACAGGGTGTGTGGAGGGTGTGGAAAGCAGATTTGTTACCATACTAGCTCAACTACATGTCATGGATCCTTAATTCTAGCCTTGGCCTCTTGTAGCAGGGTGGAAATGTTTCAGCTGGTGTGTGTGTGTGTGTGTGTGTGTGTGTGTGTGTGGAAAGAGATCGTATTACTTATTCAGAAATAATCGGTTGTAACATTAAAGTTTTCTGGAGAGTCATTCGCCACCTAGCTATGACAGCAGGAGCCGGTACCTAACTGTCAGGGAGTGCAGTGGTATGCAGTGGTATGCGAATACACAATAATGGGTGTGCATCTGCATGTGTGGGTAGCATGGAACACAAATCAAAACAAAGGAGCTTTCACTGTGGCCGCCCCTTCGTTCGGAGATGTCATGACCTGAATTTTGAATTTTGCCTCTGGTGTTTTTTGTGCTTCACTTTCTTGTATGAGTCTACGGTCAGCGAGAGTTCTCATAGTGTGTTTTGACTTTGAGGAAGCACAGCGTCCACAGGGAATGCAGCTGGATGGGTTTTCGGCGGCAATATATAGACACAAGTGTGTGTTTGTGTTAGTCTGTTTGCTTGTTGCTGAATCTGGCTGCCTGGGAAGTGGGAGGAAACCAGCTCTGCAAAATCCTGGCTGGAAATTTGGGAATGGAAGCACTGGCCAAAACATCTCCCCTGGGTGCGGTTGTCTATGGGACTCTGCCTCTTTGGTCCATGTGCATGTGAATGTGTGTGCGTCCAGCAGCGTACAGACACCCCGCCCAGCCCAGATGACATTTCAGCTCTGCAAGAGAAGGCTGGAAATGGCAGAAAATGATCAGTCTTGAATGTTCCTGTGGTCGTTAAACACATACAAACGGGTCTCCTCTTTCTGTGAATCTCCCTTTCCCAAAGAAAGCCCTTCCAGTGTAAATCCCCCTCTCTGCCCCCTTTCCCTAGCTCATTAGGGCTACAAAGCCACGTTGCCCAATCTACCTTCTGACCCCTCGCATGACAGGATTTACTAAAACAAAAAACAGGCTGAGGCCCAGAGAGAGTTTAGATTAACCATTTAAAGCTACAGTGGTATTTCACTACTAAGTAAATAACTTGAAGGGATTGAATCCCATTATTGAAATTCCCACTTTCTCATAGTGCTGAAGTTGTTTTACTTGTCCAGTTGGTTGTTAACAAGTTTGTGTTACTTGTTCTAGTACCATGTTGCTAAAATGAGCTGCATGTCGCAAACAGTTTAAAGCTTTTTGACAGTGTGTAAAAAGTGGTGTTGATGAAACTCTCTTTTCACTACCTAGCCTGGAGAAAGTTTTGAATATTACGGATCCATCACAACCCATTGTGTTTGTGTTTTTCAGCGTTGCACAGAGTGGTCGGTAGAGACAGACAGGACAGACAGGCTAGAGACAGGAATTAATGTGCCAAATGGTCTCAGGTCAGGCTTAAACCAAGGACATTGTGGTTCTACGTAACCTCTACAAAGAGACTGTGAGGATTCAGACATGGGAATCTACTTTTTCCAAGGGAGGAGCCCTG